TGTGTGTGTGTACTATGTAAATAATATTTATTTATACAGTGCATATATATATATATATATATATATAACATTTCATATATATTTTTATTATATATATATATTATATCCTTGCTAAACCTGTTAAATATGTATCTCACAATGTAGAGGAGAGATTTACAAAAAAAAAATAAAAAATGGGGTTGGCATGTGACCTTGATAATTCATGATAATTTCTCTAAAAGTGAGACCTCAGTAATGTGCTAATGATCATTTACAGTGGGCGTCAATAAATGGTGTTATGTTGTGCGTTTTAATACTAATAAACAGCCTTTTTTCTGTAGAACAACTGAGCGACTTAAGACTGGTTTTGTGGTCCAGGGTCACATTTATTAATAAACATCAAATATGATAATTGTGTAATGTAATTCAGGGCTTAAAGTTCTCCGGCACCATGTCGGATCTTCGGTGTACAGCGTTTGGCTGCGGGGAAAAAACTTGATATCATTTTCGAGTCCATGAGTTCGCCTACCAATGGTATGAGAAGAGCACAGCTTTCACTCTCAACCAAACTAACATTACTAGCCAATCAGAATTTTTTGCTCTTATAAACACGAGATATATATATATGTGTGTGTGTACTATGTAAATAATATTTATTTATACAGTGCATATATATATATATATATATATATAACATTTCATATATATTTTTATTATATATATATATTATATCCTTGCTAAACCTGTTAAATATGTATCTCACAATGTAGAGGAGAGATTTACAAAAAAAAAATAAAAAATGGGGTTGGCATGTGACCTTGATAATTCATGATAATTTCTCTAAAAGTGAGACCTCAGTAATGTGCTAATGATCATTTACAGTGGGCGTCAATAAATGGTGTTATGTTGTGCGTTTTAATACTAATAAACAGCCTTTTTTCTGTAGAACAACTGCAGTGATTGAGTCTGTGAACTTATTTTCGCCTCATGCAGCTTCATTGGCTATAATACTCACGTGTGTAATCATCGTCCCGTACATATCAAAGTAATCATGGTTTTGAAATGAATATTGAGCAAATTGCAGAAATGATGGTCTGTTTTTCACCTCTCGCCCCTCATTTGAGCTCGGTAGAAACGTTGCAGTACCTCGCGTGTGTTTTTGCGATGTGGAAATTACTGTGACCAGAATGATTAACCCACATTATATTCTATTTAGGCAGACGAGATGCGCATAATAGTATCCAATTGCAGAGTCGCAATGGTCAAAGATGTCCATCTTGCGCATATTTACACAGAAAAACGAATTAAAAAGCAGCGGAGCTTTGTAAACAGCTCGGAGTAACGTTAACTTAATCACGTCATCTCCATAAGAACGATATGCCAGAACAAATTTACCAGGATTTTTGAAAAGGTCCTGTTCACACATAATCTCTTAATGGTAACTTACCGGTAATTTACCAGTAAAATAATAATGAGTCTTCATTGGTAATGAGATAAGTACTCTAATGGATGTATTTACCTTTTTAATCACTTGGATTTTACGATGCTGATGAACAACAGCAACTGACACTAATCGCAGATACCCATAATGCACCTTGGATATTGGCCATTTAAATGTTTGTGTTTTCAGCCTGTAGTGAAGATGATCTGGAACTAGGAAATAATGGCATTTATGTTTTTGTTTCTTTAATCTGCAGTTTAATATTTTTAATATTTTTATTATTATTTTAATGTAATAATTATTTAATATAATATTTTTAAAGAAAAATATTTTAAAATAAAGTTTTTAAATAAAAATTATAAAAAAATAATTTTAAGCATATATATATATATGTACACACACACACAAACAAAATGTAAAAACAAAAATGGATTAATTGCATTAAACAAAACACATTTGTGACCCTGGACCACAAAACCAGTCATAAGGGTCAATTTTTCGAAATTGAGATTTATACATCATCTGAAAGCTGAATAAATAAGCTTTCCATTGATGTATGGTTTGTTATGATAGGACAATATTTGGCCTAGATACAACTAATTAAATGGATTTAAACATCGTTTAATCACGCTGTACAGTGAAACGTCACCAGGCTGTCGGCGCCCTCTGCAGGTATTTGCTATAATACATCATGTATTTAAGTTGGTTATGTTCATATTATGTATAGGCATATTACATTATGTATTTTTACAGTGTTGTTTAATAAAATCATGTAATTACTTGGTTTTGATATTTTATTTGAGCCAATTATTATTGCTTCATTGTTAGTTTATAATAGTCATACTAAAGCCTGGTTTTTACTTAGGTCTATTTGTGTTACTAAAAAATATCAAGATTATTCAACTGTCAAAATAATCAGTAGCTTACTTGATTACCAAAATAATCATTAGTTACAGCCCTAGATTAGTTAAAATATTTCAAAATACAACTGGATTGTTTTACTTTTTATGATTAAAAGACTAATATTTTGTCATTGAACATTCCTTAAAAATAGTAGTAAAATATTTTGTCGTTCTAGGTAAACCAAGTATCTGTATTTTGCCTCATCTTGTGAGCTAAGTGTATTGTCACACCCCTAGTGTGATGTAGCTCATGCTCATAATTTTCCAAGTGTATGATATAATATATGGTCAACCATATATTCATGAAAAAAAATCAGTTTGAATAAGGAAAACGATAACTTTGCCATAGTATCCTTTCAAATATTATAGTTGCCACAGTCATTGCATTCTTTGCATGTGCTGCACTTTATTTGTACCATTTGTTTTATTAGTTTATATATTAGAATTTAGTGTGATGTAGCTCATGCTCATAATTTTCCAAGTGTATGATATAGTTATCATTCTTTAGGTCAACCATATATTCATGAAAAAAAATCAGTTTGAATAAGGAAAACGATAACTTTGCCATAGTATCCTTTCAAATGTTAAAGTTGCCACAGTCATTGCATGCTTTGCATGTGCTGCCCCCCTACCGCCCCGCCCCCCGGAAAAAAGTTCAGGCTCAGGTTTTTTTTTGTTGCTTTAACCCCTGGTAATTGTGTCATGTTGCATAACATTTTTGCTTTCATTGTGGACACGCAAATCATTTCCGCTGAAAAGTTTGCAAACTAAAATTTTTAAAACCGTATCCAAACTCATCTCCCCTTTGGTGTGTTTCAGAGCAAGAGGAGTCCTTTGAGTTCATCATTGTGTCCCTGACGGGTCAGATGTGGCATTTTGAGGCATCTACGTATGAGGAAAGAGAACTCTGGGTTCAGGCCATTGAGAGCCAGATATTTGCCAGTCTACAGTCCTGTGAGAGCAGCAAGAACAAGGTAAGATGTGTTCATTTAGGTACCGTGGAAATAGGTTAGTATGCCTTATGTACCCTTCTGCTCTTTTCAAACTGTGATATCTGAATTATGTCACATAGTCTCGATTAGGAAGCCAGAGTGATGCAGTGACCATCCAATCCATCAGGAATGTGAGGGGAAACAGCTTCTGTGCAGACTGTGACGCCCCCAGTGAGTAAAACATTGTGACGGCACCCATTTCTGAACAAGAAGCGAGTCTAATTTTATTAGACATTTTATCCTATGTTTGTCTTTTCCTTTGTTGTATAGTGGCATGAGGTATAATGTGATAAAGTACTTTAAAATAATAAAAAATTATGAAAAATACAATTTAAAAAATGTAATAATTTAATAAAAAAGTTTTTTCAGACATGTTTCTGTTTTGTTAAACATTAAAATAATAAAAAATAATACAAATGAAAATAATAGAAATAAATAATAGATAATTTAATACAAATATTTTTTCCAGGCATTTTTGTAGGGTAGTTTCACCCACATTAATATAATAAAACATAATTAAAAATAACAAAAAAATTATAATAATACTTTTTCAGACATTTGGGGGGTAGATTCACAAACTTTAAAATAATAAAATAATTGTAAAAATATGTAGAAATAAAATCAATTATGTAAAAAAAAAAAAATCTATTTTTGTTGGATAGTTTCAGATTGTTATTGCCGAAAATGACCCATCAGACCACACTTATAGCATATCAGAGTTTGAATTGCATAAAATGTAATTTTGGTAAGGAACCCACATTAATATAATAAAACATAATTAAAAATAACATAAAAAAATTATAATAATAATTTTTCAGACATTTGGGGGGTAGATTCACAAACTTTAAAATAATAAAATAATTGTAAAAATATGTAGAAATAAAATCAATTATGTAAAAAAAAAAAAATCTATTTTTGTTGGATAGTTTCAGATTGTTATTGCCGAAAATGACCCATCAGACCACACTTATAGCATATCAGAGTTTGAATTGCATAAAATGTAATTTTGGTAAGGAAAACTGAATTGTAATTGTCTCTGACCCTCAGATCCAGACTGGGCCAGTCTGAACCTCGGCGCTCTGATCTGTATCGAGTGCTCCGGGATGCACAGGAACCTCGGCACCCATCTGTCCCGCGTACGGTCTCTGGACCTGGACGACTGGCCTGTGGAGCTCAGCATGGGGATGACAGCCATTGGGAACGCCATGGCCAACAGCGTATGGGAGGGCTGTGTGGAGGGATACACCAAACCCGGGGTGGACAGCACCAGGTGGGTCACCTGTCCAAAGTATTAGCTGGTAGCCTTGAAAACAAGTGTTTTAAAAGTCAAAAATTCATCATGACAAGATTCTTTTCTCTCAGGCCCTATGAATTGAAGTAATGTTTATAATAGATTTGTTAACTAATCAAATTATTTTTTTTATTATTTGTGTTATTAGCCAAGTTTCTTTCTATTTTGCAGAAGTTTAAAACCAAAATAGCAATATGGCTTAGTGCTTTCATCATATTGCAAAGGCTGCAATTTAATTAAATATATGTTCTACATGTTTCAGAGTGAAACGTGGCACCGTGTTGTTTTACAGGTGAGCAGCTCGTGTTCTGGTGTTTTCAGTGTCTCAGAGCAGCTTGGTGCACAATAAATGCTGCTCCACATGAACTCCATGTCTGCATCTGTTCTGAGTTTGGGTCACTTAATAGTATGAAATTATTATTATTTTATTATTATTATTACTCTATTGTTAAATTGTCTAAATTGTGCAGCTCTAAAACAAGCACAGCAAACCTGGAGCATTTTAAAAAAAATTGCATTGAAAATAGTTTAACAATTCAAAACTTAAATAAAAAAGAAGGTTTAAAGGCTTTCTGTGTATTTCTGCCAGAATAAAAGCTTGATGGTTTAAAATTTGAAAATGAATTAAGACATTCATAATTACTATTAGTGTGAAATTATTTTTATTATTATTATTACTCTGTTTTTTTTACAGTGAAGAATTAAAATCTTAATCTCTTGTTTTAATTTAATAGTAAAAAAAAATGTATTCTTTTTTTTTGTAATTCATTAAAAACTGTAATATAAAAACGTGATGGTGTTTTAATTAAATATTTAAATTTTTTTTTGTAATTCATTAAAAACTGTAATATAAAAACGTGATGGTTTAACATTCGAAAATGAATTAAGACATCTATACATATTACTATTAGTGTGAATTTTTATTATTATTATTATTATTACTCTTTTTTTTTTTACAGTGAAAAATTTAAATAGTAATCTCTTGTTTTGTTTAATTTTTTATTTAATAGTTTAATAGTAATCATTTTTGGCTAAATTGTGCAGCTCTAAAACAAGCACAGCAAACCAGGATCTTTTTAAAAAATTAAACAAAATAGAAGCTTTAAAGGCTTCCTGCATATTTCTGCCAGAATAAAATCTTGATGGTTTAACATTCAAAAATCAATTAAGACAGCCATAAATATTAATATTAGCTTGAAAATATTTTTTATTATTATTTTTATTATTAATTAAAATAGTAATATCTTATTTTCTTTATTTTTTTATTTCATAGCAATAATAATTATGATAATAACCATTATAATATACTATGAAATAATATAATGTAATAATTTTTGGCAAAAATTGTGCAGGTCTAAAACAAGCACAGAAAACCTGGAGCTTTGCATTAAAAACTGTATTAAAAATTGGCATTTTTATCAGAACAAATGCAATTTGATAATTTTCTTCCTAAAATTTTGTAACCCTAGTTTATTCTTAACAAAACATTTTTCAATTTTAAAACAATAATCTTGACACAATTAATCTTAAAACTTGAATGGAAACATCATTTTTTTCCTAAATCATTGCCTGAATACAAGCTTGTGGTCAATTTGAATAATGTTTGGGCTTCTTAATGAGGCTCTATAAATGTTTCATGTATTAAACTCAAAGAATGCTTTGTTTTGCATAGTCAGACATCAAACATGGCGGCTGTAAGTATTTAAGAAAGTGAAGTGTAGTATTTGAAGATTGAACTCTGTTCGGGATGTGGAAGCATATTCAATAAGCATTGCATCCAGTGTCAGTTCCATGATCAATGACAGGATTGTGTCGGAGTCCTCACCCAGTCATCGCTCCATTAGTGCTGTTTGAAGAAGATGAGATGTTTCAGGAGATAATAGGGTCCATAGACCATTGTCTGGAGCTGCTCACCTGCTCCGCTTCCAGGCGATGTCTCGAGGTGTTTCCCGCTTTAAGCCTGACACACTCGCTCACATTCCCAATCTATCTAATGACCTGGAGAAAAGAGTGTTTTTGGTGGCAATTAAGGACACTATTACAGTCCCAAACCACTCCCCTTGGGGCTGAACTGAGAGCTTTCAGTGGCTCTGACAGCTATCCATCACTCAGAGGGGTGTATCAGTCACTCCTGAGGGTACGAGTCCCGTCAGACACGGCCTGCGCTTTGGTCTAATGCATCATAATGCAGGATTTATTTTAATGCTGATGAACTCTGACTTATGCCTTTATCTGTTAGATCAGGCTGAGACATGCTGTTGGACGGCCAATATGTATAGCGCATAATTTGTTATGCATATTTGTGTTACAAACATGAATGATGCCTAAAAGTATGTGGCTTGATGAGGAGAGCTGTGCTGATACTTTTCTCAGCATCTGAACGTATCATTTTTGCCTAGTGCATGATTAAACAGGTCAAAGCTGTCCTACAGATTTAAATTGAAGGATGCCATAGCTAGAGACTTCAAAATTATTGAGGCTAATATTATGAATTTATTTAAAACTTTAATTTATTTATTTTTTACATTTTTTTTATTTTTTTATTTTTGTTAAAACTAAAAGCAGTTTGAGAAAACCACATTTAAAGGTGCTATGTAAAATAAAACTGTATGTATTTATTTATTTAAGGCTGGTATTATAAATGTATTCTGTTTTTATGATATCTGGTAATTGTATATTATATTCCTTTTTTCATTCATTCATTTATTTATTTATGCCATGAATATAAGCTTTGATGCTGATATGGTAATAAAAATAAATTGATTTAATTTATTTTACGAGAGCTAGCATTTTAAAAGAGGCAAAATAATTTTATAATAATATTCAGGGTTATTACCATTAACTAAAACTATTAAAATACTTTTCTCAATTGAAATTAAGCTGAAATAAAATAAATATTAGATGAGAAATTTCAATTAAATTTAAATTAGAAATGTTGCCTTGGCAAATACCTGTAATAAGTTTAAGTAGAAGTACTAAAATTACTAACTGGAAATAATAAAAAAATAAATAAACCTGAACAAAAATTAAATAAAAAAGAAAATAAAAGCACATAAAATTGCTAAAAATCTAAATAAATGAAAACTGAAAATATATAAAATAAAATTCAGTATATTAATAAAAAATAATAGTATTTAAATAATACTAAGATAACTGATAACATTGTATTATTTTAAAGTGTTATATATGTCATAATAATTATATAATATTATATTATTTTAAGTATTTTATTGTACTAAAAATTAAATGAAATTGTATTATATAGTCGGAATTGGAAACATTATTTGCTTTTATGATATTATTATATTATCTGCTTCCAACTGGCCAAAACTGGCCAATGCCAGTAATTTCAGAATATGGTCATCTGCAGATACTAATACAGATATTGTGCATCTTCAATTAATAGTGTGTTTGATATCACTTGATATAACATTTGCTGAGGGATTTCAGGGAAATCAGCCTTCTGAATTATGTGTCTCTGCCTGTGTATTCATTTACCTTTGTTTACCTGCTGTAATATCTGTTTACAAGACAGTGGAGTGACCTGCTGCTTCATAGTATGCAAGTCAGCGTCAGGATTTCCCTCAGTGGAGAGCGTGAACAAAGATGTAACAGCTGCCTTACAAAAGAGTGAGAGTGCGTGCAGCAGATAGCGTGTAAAGGAAGATGGCCCTTTCCATCTCCTCACCACCCGGAGTGCTTCAGCTCTCTGTCTCTGTTCTTTTCTCTCACTCGACGGCGAGTGATGGCTCACAGTTATCTATTGAGTGCTTGGCGGGCTGCAGCCGAGTGCTTTTGACTTGATGAAAGATTATTGATGCTGATATCCCCCTCACACTTCAGTCGTCAGGACGGGATCACTGCCGGAGGAGGGAATGTTTTTCATTGTCAGGAGAATCTGATGGTTCACGGCATCCTCCATTTCTCCCGTTCTCTCGCTCACTCGCTCACTCATTCTCTCACCCGCTCGGACAAAAACTGAAAATCTCATTACCGTCATAACTGATTTTCCTCAGCCAAAGAGTAATGGGTGAAACATGGTGTGTATTCAGAGTGCACATTTATTCAATATGTAGTCATCAGGGAGCATTTGTTTGTTTTTTTCACAATTTGACATTACTGGTGTAATTTGATTGATTGTGCTGTATATGTGTGTGTGTGTGTGGTATATATTACATTTTACATTTTACAGTTTCTTTACAAGAAATTTGAAAGCTTCAGTTTTGCTAAAGATGGTGAGTGAAAACGCAGATTTCCTGAGTCATGATTTGAGTGTGTTTTCGGTGCACGTTGGTCATTCACTCATTGGTATGAATGGGTCATTTGGACGGTCAATTATATATGTATCATCAAAATGTGGTTTGACATCAGTGAGATGAGTAATCGGGCTCGTTTTACCGTCGTGCAGTCAGGCAGGATTGATTTAAAACTCATCACGGAGGTGAAAACTAACATCCGAGTGAGGTGACAAGTCTTGCCGTAATGGCCTCTAGATTACTCGCATACACACTTTAGCATGAGCTAAACACAAATACTCATATGTGACAAAGTCTTACTCTGTGGGATCATAATGAAAGCTAAATTGGTACCACTGTCTTAACACTGGTGATATTACTATCTAGGTTTTTTTTTTTTTTTTTTTTTTTAGATAATTGAAGTTCTCAGGAAAGGTAGACATTTTGGAAATGTAATTAAATGTATTTATTTTACAGCACTTTTTTTTTAATTATTCATTCCGTCCAAGCACTAAGTTCGAAATTATAGAAATGTATTCATTTGGATTTATTTAAAAAAAAAAATAATTTTATTAATTCTGTTTAAGTGCTCATGATAATTATAAGTTATTTAAATGTTTTTGTTTTGTTTTTGTTTTTTTTTACGAAATTTTTCTTTAATTGTATTTTTTCTTCTTAATCAATAAAAAAAATGTATATTGCATAATGTTTTACAATTTATTCTAAGCAAAACTAAAATGTAAA